CCCAGTAGACCCTGCAGGCTCTTTTATCCCTCCTTCCAGCCTGGCCCTACTTTTGACTGAGAAAAAAATGTCTGGTGGAAAGAAAGATCAACAGTAAAAGATGTTCCCACCCTACCTCCATCCCCAGGATGACCTCTAAGTCTCCCCTGCAGGTGGACTTGACCCTCTGGTGCGGGGCCTGCTGACCAAGAAGTCCAAGTTGATGAGTCAGGATAAAATGATGACAGGGGAGCTGCGCAACAAGCTTTTCCAGCCCACTCACAAGATCCATGGCTTCGACCTGGCTGCTATCAATATACAGCGTTGCCGAGACCATGGGATGCCTGGTGAGTGGGCTTGGGGTCTGGCCTGGCCTGGGGACCTTTTAGCTACTTTCTGAAGCTTCAGAGGGCTCTCTCCTATAATCCTAAGAATCTGATCAATTCTAAAACAGAAGACAGAGATGCCAGCTTTTAAAGCTCACTTTGGTCATCTGTGAAATGAATCTTCCCTCGTTCCTAATGCAGAGACAACAGAACATATCTGGTACCATCTTGGAGCTCCTCAAATGAAAAAGAGATCACCAGCTGACTTGTAAAATCAGTGTAAAAGCCCAGAAAAAGAATTAAGAAAAGGACAGTAGAGAGACCATGGGCCTTTCTTTTGTACCTATGAAAGGCAATTTAATGTTGTCATGAAGAGCCAGACTGCCTGGGTTCAAATCCCACCTGTGCCATTTCTAGGTTTGTGACCTTACGCAACTTATTTAATACCTCTGTTCTTCCGTTTACATATTTGCTTAGTATAGTGCCTGAACCCACATAACTTGCTAGCCTTCTCGAGGCTGAAGTACCCCAGATAAGAAACAGTGGAACCCCATCCCAAAGGCTATGAGTCTAGACTTTCTGGGGTTGATAGAGCTAGAGTGAATATGTCCCCAAGGAGGGGATACGGGCAAGAAGTCCCTGGGATGAGACAATTTCCGCCTCTCCACCCTAGGATACAACTCCTGGAGAGGTTTCTGTAACCTCTCACAGCCCCAGACACTGGAGGAGCTGAACGCTGTGTTGAAGAACGAGATGCTAGCGCAGAAGTTTTTGGATCTCTACGGGACCCCTGACAACATTGACATCTGGATTGGGGCTGTTGCTGAGCCGCTGGTGGAAAGGGGCCGGGTGGGGCCTCTTCTGGCCTGCCTCCTGGGGAAGCAGTTCCAGCAGATTCGCAATGGAGACAGGCAAGTGAAACCTCAGCGGGAGGTCAGGGGAGGTCAGACACTTCTCTGAGGTAGGTGCCCCATGTCCTGCGTGAGGACTAACCCGGACCTCAGCATGTTTCCAATGACTTCCTTCCTTCCCTTTGGGCAGGACGGGGAGGGGCCGACAGCTGGGCTGTATGGAGAGACCTGTGCTTCTGTCTCTGCAGGTTCTGGTGGGAGAACCCTGGGGTCTTCACTGAGAAGCAGCGGGACTCTCTACAGAAAATGTCCATCTCACGCCTTATCTGTGACACCACCAATATCACCAAGGTCCCACTGAACCCATTCCAGGCTAACAGCTACCCCGAAGACTTTGTGGATTGCTCAGCCATTGATGAGCTGGACCTCTCACCCTGGGCCTCAGTGGAGAATTAGAGGCCTGTCACATTGTGCAGTGGAGCGCCCTTTGGTCCATGATGCCCTTTCAAGCAAGTTCAGTGATGCGGTCCCTGAGCCCTCCACACCCTGTCCCAGCCCTTCTTTTCAGACAGACCTTGCTTCACTTGCCAGATGCATATTTCATGCAGGCCCAAGGCCAGCACTGTGGCCCTTCCAGCTTGTTCACTTGAAATCCACTGCTCCCACCCCATCCCTGCTGCCTATGGAAATTCTCATTTCTGTCGTGACTTAATTGCATGCTGCAATGCATGCCCTTCCAATCTAGCTTGCCAGATGTCACCTATCCTCTCTCTGGAACAAGTCTTGGTTGAGGCGGTGGCCTTTGCACCCTTATCTTTCCTCCTTTCCTCTCAGCCTGCTTCCAAGTGTCTCCCATGCCATCCAGAAAGGTGCTTGGCATATAGTAGGTGCTTAATAAACATCTGATGATTGGCTAAAGATGCTGGCAATGACACTGTTCCCTTCCAGAAAAGGCAGACCTTGGAACCACTGCCAATTAAGTAACTAGATGTTTACAGTCCAGACATGTCTTACCACTAAGATGTTGTGAGCACTGGTCTGCAGGTTAAGAGGGCATGTTTTAGTGGGATTTCAAAGAGTGCTCCAAAAAGAGGAGGAGGCAAAGAGCTCCCGAGAAAAGAAACAATGCCCATAGAAAGGTAACAGAGAGGACCTGGGATGGTGCCAAGGGATCAAACAGGTTGGAAATCCAAGCCTGGATTCCCCTACAGCTAGAGTTCATTTCCCTTCCAGAGACCTTTCTGGGAAATACTCTTCTTCTTGGAGCCTGGGAGGACTCTGAAGGGGCATCTCCAGAATATTCCTTGTGCTGCTGCCCAATACCTATTCATGTGTTCTTCTTTTAAAATGACCCTCTGGATAAGGTCAGCCCAGCCAGGGCCTCCAGGTCCCCTGACTGGCGGGTGGGGGTGGGAGGCACTTAACCATCTTACGGGAAGAACCCAGGAGCCAGGAAGACTTGGGCTGCAGCCCTGGCTCTGGCACACACTTCTTCAAGGTGTTAGATAAGCTCCTTCACATCTCTGAGCACCCTGCTCATCATCAGTAACCTGGAGATGAGAATTTATCCTGCTCTGGCGAGGTCCTAGTGTGATCTGGGGCTCCTATGGGTACATTTGCTCCAGCATCCTGCACACCTTCGGGCTCCCAGCTATGGGTGCCCCTCTCCAAACGTAAGAAGAAGAAGGGAATTTACCAATCGGCTATAGGGATCCAGCTCCAGGCAAAATTATTAGGGAAGCACCCTCCTCCCCCTCTCACAGCTCTGGTCATATGAAACCAGAACTGAGAAGTCTAGGGGGTGAGGGCCCCTGAACCACCGTGCCGGGCTGCCAGGCAGGATTCAGAGGTGCCTGTCACCTGGGGAGGGCCTACCATCACACCTCTACTCTTTCCCTCCCACAGGACAGCATATTGTCCCCTGTATTTCCCAGCTCCTGACACAGAATGAGCACGTAGCAAATATTTGCCAGAGTGATGAATGAACATAAGGACTTGGTGACCATAATTCCTGTTCTCCAGGTGGTATGGGGAAGGTGAGGGAGGAAAGTCTGCTCGACTTGGCCTGGCCTCTAGGCTTCTAAGAACTGACTGCCTTCCACGTATGGATCAGCCAAAGGAAGACTCCTGGATACCCTCCCCTCCAGTTCAGAAAACACAGGGCCCTGAGGGACAGACCACATGGGTTCAGGTTCAGAGTCCAGAGCAAGCCTTATGCTGGGGCTCTAGCCCCACTGCAGACATAGAGTAAAGGTCCCCATCAGCGCTACTTTATTATCATAGATATCAGATACAAACAAATGGTACAAAAGGGCCAATGGGCCCCAGTTCCTCTCCAGGCAGCTTCTGTGAATAAGCAAGAGACCAGGGTAAGGTATTAAAAGGGGAGATATGAACTGAGCCTCGCTTGCCCATAACTCAACCACCACACACAGCCCAACTGCTAATGGCCATTCCTCCAGGGGTTGCTGGTTCACCTCTGCTAAGCGGGACACTGTCAAGGTGCCAGCTCCATGGGGGAAGAAATGATGTTTGACTTTCTGTTTCCTGTGCCTAGCACAGTGCCTGGCAGATAGTAAGTGTTCAGTAAACAAAGAACTGGAGGGATGCAAACAGGCCTTCTAAGGAGCCATGACAGCTGTAATAACAGCGGTTTCCTTCTTATTTACAAAGACGGAAACTCAGGCTTGACAACGTTGAGTAATGTGTTCAGGGTCACACAGCTGGTAAGCTGCAGAGCCAGGATTTGAACCCAAGCCGTCTGGCTCCTGAGCTTGTGCTCCTCACCAATCCACTCTGCCGCCTTCCATATATTTATTACTCACAGAAACAGCAGACACACACTCACATACACAACATGCATACATAGCGCAGAAAACACCACCCAGGGGGCCGGCCGAGTGGCTCAGTTGGTTAAGAGCTCACTCAAAAGTGTGAGCTCTGAGCAACAGCAGTTCGATGCCCGGCCCGAGCAGAACTGCCGCTGAGCTGCCAACAGGTGGCAGGGTGGCTCAGCTAAAAAAAAAAAAAGAAGGAAAAAAGAAAACACCACCCATATTCACAGATAACGCACACATATGAAATCTAATTTATAAACATTGCATGTGGACACACACAGATGAATGAATGAATGTCTAATCATTCGTTTTCTTGGCCAGAACGGGGATGGGCTCACACAGGAAAGGGAGATTTGTGGCTCCGATGGGCCAGCCCACGTATGCCCGGCCTTCACCTCACCTGTGTACCCCAAGCCCAGCCTCTAGTCCCTTTCCCTCCAGGGAGTCAGGTTCAACGCAGGAAGAGTGCTGCAGTTGACAAAGTGCTGAGGGAACTTGTTGGACATGAAGATATTGTTCTTGGACACGGTGGTGATGCCTGTGTTGTCGCAGATGATGCGGGGCAGGGAGATCCTGGCCAGGGCCTGCCGCTGCTGTGTGCTGAACACATCCTTGTTCTGCCACCAAAACCTGCATGGGAACACCCACGGACATCGTACCCGAGGCTCTGCTGGACTGGGAGGGCATCCCCTGGCATGGAAGGCTCCATGGATGCAAGGGGACCCTAGCAGACACCCACTCTACAGCACAGAGGAGCTCCAGGCCCTCAGACAGCCAGGGGGTTTCAAACAAGTGGAGCCTCACTCATGGCACAGAGTAAAGCCCAGCTGCCCGGATGCCCCCACCCCAGAGGCTTCAGGGGCACCATCGTTGCTAGACAGGAAGTGGGGCCCTTACTTGCTCATGAAGCCTGTGCCCTGGAATGGGCTGCACCAATGGGGGTAGAGAGAGTTTTGGGGGTGGTTTGTAATTTGTCCACCCAGAAAGGGACATCTTATTCTAATTTTCTCAAAGGAACCATACAGGCTAAGTAAGAACTTGGTATGATGGATATCAGAACCGCGATGCAATAGCACAAGGAGAAGCGAGGAGGGGGCTGTTCAATGGGGCTGTGATTGACAACATCATGGTTGCAACCTGAAACACGGAGCAGAAGTACAGAGTGGCATTTTCTCTGTCTTCCCTCCTTCACAACCAGGGGTTCAGGTCCCTCCTTGCTGCACTCCCAACAGATTCAGAGCACATTAGGGATGAGCTTGAGGCTCCCTGGGACATACTGAGACGTCACAGATTCCGTCCAGCCCTTCACTGCACAGGAAGAAGTTGGAGCCCCGAGAGATTCTGGACAGGCCCACAGCCACACAGTGGGCCTGGGCCGCTTGTCCTGCCTCCTCACCGATCACCATCGCGGAGCTTCCTGAACTGGGTCCCAATGAGGCAGGCGAGAAGTGGGCCCACGCGGCCGTTGCGCTCCAGGGGCTCGGCCACACCACCCATCCAGATGTCGATGTTGTTGGGTGTGCCATACAGCTCCATCAGCTTCCTTGCCAGGCCCAGGTTCTTTAGCACTGTGCCCAGCTCACCCACCGTGCTGGGCTGTGTGAGCCCACAGAAGCGCCTCCAGGCATTGTACCCTGCATGGGAATAGGGGAGGGGTGGCTGTGGGTGCATCCCAGAAAATCCACCTTCCCAATACACCAAGGTTATATACAGAGGTACATCAGGGAGGGGAGGACACAGACGGGCTTCTCTTAGGCTTTAAACCCTTAGGGAACTCTGAACCCTTGGCTCAAGCCAAGGGGAGAGCTGGGCTGCTCCAGGACCCTGTCTGTCTTTCCCTTGCCCACCCTTCCTAAGGCAAATCCTAAATTGCCATAACTCCTGTAAGGGGGACAGCTCATTGTCCTCCTCTGGAAATCTCAGACCTGTGAGGGGTGAGGTGTGTCTAGAAGACTCAGCCACACCAGCTGTCCCATCTTGCAGACACAGGCTTTGGGGTTAGGCTGATCCTCGTTCAAATTCCAGCTTTGTCACTGACTTGGCTGGAGAACCTGGGCCTCCGTTTCCTCATCAGTAAAATGAAAGTGATAATACTCTCTTCCCCTCAGAGTTCATGTGACATGAAGCAAAATGAAATGATGATAGAGACAGATTTTCAGAGTGCGGGGCCTAGGAGCTTGTTATTATTATGATGATGCTCCAAGTTTAAGGGTTAAAGCAGTACGAAGCAGCAAGGAAGAGCTGAAAATAGACCAGGTGGGCCCAGGGAGAGGTAGGTGCCTGACCTCAGACCACTTCCTAAGATCAAGGTGCTGGGGTGTGGGGAAGCCCCGGGCAGCTGGGGCCACTAGAGAGGGCAGGGCCCTAGAGTGGGAGGTGGGAGTGGGGCAGGGAAAACCCTGCAGCTCCTCACCTGGGAGGCCATGGTCTCGGCTGCGCTGCATGTTCAGAGCGGGCAGGTCCAGCCCGATCCTCATGACCTGCACAAACAACCGCTCCCGGATCTCATCCACCACGATTTGGTTCTGGCGATTCAGCTTGGCAGGGGTGGCCATGAGGCCCCGGAGAATGGGGTCAATGCCACCTAGGGTCAAGAGCAGCAAGGTTGGGGAGAGGATCTGGCTCAGTATCACAACTCAGAGTGGAGTCAGGAACAAGTCCAAGGTGGGGTCGTGGGGATTGCAGAAAACAGCTGGGCACATGCAGCTCCTGGTTCCAAGGTGGCCCTAGTGGACAGGTCCTCACCAGGGCTTCAAGGTCTCAGGGGATTATGTCATTCAGACTTGCAAGGTCGAGGTGCTCCCAGCCCTTAGCCTCCTGGGTGACTGAGAGTCACAACACACAGAAAGGAGCCAGCTCCTTATAAGCTAGCCCCACCCCATCCTTTATGGTTAGATGCAAAAGCAGAATCAGGTAAACTGAGGCTGGAAAGTCAGATCAGATCCCCAAAGATGAAAGGGAAGAGGATTTCTCCTGCCCTAGTTCTCTCTGTGGCCAAGCCTACTCCTACCCCACTCTCCGCTGCCAACCCACTCTCTCCTGATTTAGACCCTGCTTACCTTCCAGCACTACCCTCCAGGTGGCAAAAAAGACCATGCTGAGGGGAACACGGG